CCCTCGCCATGAGGCCAGTCCTGTCTGGCGGCACCAACAATCACCTTCCTCATCCACTTTAATAAACAAGGATAGAAATATGTATCGGAAAACATCTGTAACAATATAGTCCCTCACAAGCCCCACAGTTTCCTCCCATCACAATAAATAGCCTCCCACCTCTCCAGAGCCTCTAAACCTAACAAGAAAAGACTGACCTAGGCCTGTTTGGAAAGTTACCCTCTTTCAACTATCTCAGAAAACAAGGAGTCAGTTACCAGGCCCTCAAATCTCCCTGGAGCACATCCTCCTTACAACCTCCTCCTGTGAAGCAGCAGACTTCTGTCCAAGCTTGCAGGAATGATTAACCAGGGCTGCACTACACAGAAATATGGCACGAGTGTCAGCTCCTTTCTCAGGCCACCAGGTTCCATATAGTTTATAGTTTACACCATAAAGGTTGTAACTTTGCATTGTATCTGGAAAATGAAAGGCTACTAATGCAAACCTTTGAGTTCTGTGAGGTGGTATTTTGTGAAAGATTCTGTGCCCTATGTCATTACTGGTATCAGCTTTAGCGTCCGTATGATTTGCAATGGGCACTAAAAAGAAATCATTATTAAAATGTCATACCACAGCAAAACATAAGCATTCTGTCCAACCCAATAAAAAGGCACAAAAAGCCCTAACAACCTGAGACTGGCATCTTCTCCCTCCCCTCAGAATAACAGAACTCCACAAATATCAGTAAAACATAAATAGTGAAAGCCCTTCTGCTGAAAAAACAGAAAAATGTGTTAACTGATGAATGGCTGGTTGCTCTCAGCCTCCTTCCAACGCATGACTCTACTATACTGCTTGTTCTTTCCTGTTCCTCCTCCATCCCATGTGCAAGCTAGACTTGCACTGGGACAACAGAAGAAGTCCCACGAGCACAAGAGCAGGTTTCAGCAATCACTTATCAATGATGAAATGGTTTACTGCTGAGGTGAATGACGGAGCCAAGCCATGCAAAGGGCAGAGCACTTTGCAGCTCTTGGATAAAAACATTAGAGAACAGCCATGCTATTCGAAACAAAGAATATGTCTTGGGGATGGCAGGAGTATACAGCTGTGCAGGATGACAACCAGAACCCTGAGAATTATCATCATATATCCTCCTAACTTGTCTCCCTCAATACCTCTGACAGGCTCCATGACTTTCCTAAGTAGAAGACCTGTCCACTGCTTCAGTATGGTGAAGAAAAATAAACACAATCTTCCTAGCAACTTAAAATTAGAAAAGAAACTGAAGAAACTTGTCATGAAGTGACTCACAGACAGAAACTTTCCTCCAGCAGCAATAATTCCATGTTAACAAAAGCTTAAGCTTTCTGAACAAAGCATTTAAGGTGGAAAAGTTGACAAACCTTCATCACAGCTATAAAACTTACGAAGCATGCTGTAACATCATCAGTAACTCTACAACTACGGACTACTCATTTGCTACATGTAACATTACTTCAGTGGAGGCCAATCTTCTGAGAAATTCTGATTTACATTCAAGAAATTTCTATTTCTACACAGCCAGTCATGCAGAACTATGCCCAGTGAATACTCCCGTACCGTAGCGGCAGCACAGAGCACTCCTGCCTGCAGCCAGCGCGGAGCTCGCAGAGCGCTCAGAAGAGCAGCACATGCTCCTCATTCTCCTCCAAGGCTCAGCTGCAGAAACGCCACCCTTGTCCACGCTGGCAGGCTCTCTGCCTGTACACTTGAGGGGCTTTACTCTCACCTTCCACACCCCAGCAGCTATATCCACAGTTTCATAATTCTTCATAATGCATCCTCTTAGCGGCTGAAGGAGCTGGGACTGTTTAGTCTGGAGAAGAGGAGGCTCAGGGGGGATCTTATCGCTCTCTACAATTACCTGAAAGGAAGTTGTAGGGAGGTGGGGGTTGGTCTCTTCTCCCATGTTATGAATGACGGAACGAGAGGGAATGGCCTCAAGTTACGCCAGGGGAAATTTAGGTTAGATATCAGGAAAAATTTCTTTACAGAGAGGGTTGTGAAGTATTGGAACAGGCTGCCCAGGGAGGTGGTGGAGTCCCATCCCTGGAGGTGTTTAAAAACCGTGTGGATTTGGTGTTGAGGAACATGGTTTAAGGACCCTGACAATGCACGGTGAATGGTTGGATTCGATGATCTTGAGGGTCTCTTCCAACCAGATGATTCTATGATTCTCTTGACTCTACACTCATTATTTTGCAGCCCTTTGAAACCACCTTATCCTACCCCTGCTGTGTATGTCAAAACATCATATTCATTTATTTCTCACTCTCCTGTGTTCAGGTCTTGCTCCCTCCATCCCTGCATACTCTCGTCCTATCCCAAAAGGGAGCCCATTTATCCCTTTTTTCCATCGTACAGTGTAGTGCAGATGCCCTCCATCTGCCAAAATAAGAGTTACACAATGTGAAATACAATAATTAAGTAAGCAAATTATACGTTTCAACACACGTATATGATTTACATAAGCTATACACAAATTATGCTTCCAGGCTTATAATCCTGCCCTTTTTCCTCCCTCCTTATCTGTTCATTCCTCTTTTGTCTCCAGTTCAAGATTACTCTTCGTGGTAAGAGCACAATCTTTATTAGTCTGTGCCAACGTACGTACAATAATAGTGATCAGTATCTAGTAATGAGAACATGCTAAGATCTTCCACTAAAGGATTCTCAGGTGCAGTTTAAGCATACATGTCACCAGTATGCTGCCATTTTACTTGCAATAAGCATTCATTTGAAGCCTAGGTCAGCTACGTCTGCTTAACTTTCTTTCCTAACGTCTTACGAATTACTCTTACAGTTCATTTTGTTTTCTTGTTTTCTCTGAATTTCCACTGATTAAAAAAGGTAGGATTTCAATCTCAAGATCTTAGCAAGACTTAAAGCAGAGTTTAATTTACTACGTTCAAATACTATGACTAAACGAACAAAAAAGTTTCTGCCAAAAGAAAGTATTACAGCATTACACAGATAACCTGAATCTCAGAGCTATGGAAAACACACACATTTCATACCAAACAATACCTTTAGGTGGATGAAGTTTGTGACCTGTTTTCTCACACCATCCGACAGGATGAATGTCTGAAGAATCAGCGTTCACCCAGAAATCGTAACAATCTGGGTATCCATCAAAATGGAGTCGTATTCTGTAGCCACAAACCTAAAAGCAAGAATGTGCAATATACAACACCATTTTTTAACGTTTGCCCTGCACGTAACAGCTTCTGCTCACTATTATGTATATTAGCAGCGTGCTTCCTGTCAGCCTTTTACTTCCACTCAAGCCAACACCAGATGAATAATTCTTTTGACAAAAAGGAAAGAATAAAAAAGCAAAGCTATTCTCAATCTGAGTGCCTCCTCTTCTGGTGAAAAGAATTAAGTAAATGTTGGATATTGCCATTAATGTTCAAAAACTTGAAAACTGTTCAACCTAACATCAGAATAAAACAGAAACCCTACCAAAGAGCATGAACACATCTGACACAATCATGGAGAAAGCGCAGATTACGATGGTCTCAAGCTATCTTGATTAATCAATATGCAAGAGAGCACTCAACAGTAACTATGTTCAACAGGCTCTCCAGAGAGATACTGAGAACTGTTATTAAAGATGAGAGGTATCCCCCAGAACTTCATTATTCCATGAAGTAATTTTAACCTCCAAGAGGAAAAGAGAAACAGGAATACAATCTCTTTCTCTCTGTACAAAAGCTCTGCGCATCTTCCTGAATGCCAAATGCCGTAACTTTCCTGCAGTCATCAGTGAAAATGCGTTGGCATCAAGGTCACCCTCTTTAATATTTAATTTATACTGTGACATAACTTTCAGTTTGCCATCTCAGAATTACATGGAATTCAAGACACTGTACAGTAAAACATAACCTATCACTTAGTGTTGAGCACAAGATCCACAGGAATACTCAACCACTGACACACCACCTGCAAGAAAATGTGCAAGAGGAGATATGCACAGAAATGGTATATGACTACGGACCATTAAGAGATCCAGAACTGGGAAAACAAAAGCCTAGGCTATAAAAATATAAACTGCAAAATTACAGCTGCTTAGAATAACAGTGATACAGAGCAGAGTATCTACCCTATTCCTCTTTTTGCATTATAATTCACAAAACATAACCAAAAAAGGATCTTTGGTAAAACTACATAAAGCTAATGTAAGGTATGTTTGAAAGATATAAAAAAATATAAATGAGAAACAGGTTCTCATTTATATTAATAAAAGCAAGGAAACTACTCATCAAAAAAGTTATTTTATAAACTGCACCAAAAAGACAGGCTGAGTGTATATGGTATACTAAATTGTAGAAACTGCCAATAAAGACAATTTCTGAGGCCATCAGCCTGAAAAAATTCTAGCACAATGGCAACCCAAAAAAGTGTAAGTGCAAGGTCTTGCACATGGGTCAGGGCAATCCCAAGCACAAGAACAGGCTGGGCAGAGAATGGATTGAGAACAGCCCTGAGGAAAAGGACTTGGGAGTGCTGGTGGATGAGAAGCTCAACATGAGCCGGCAATGTGCACTGACAGCCCAGAAAGCAAATCGTACCCTGGGCTGTATCAAAAGAAGTGTGGCCAGCAGGTCGAGGGAAGTGATTCTGCCCCTCTACTCAGCTCTCGTGAGACTCCACCTGGAATACTGTGTTCAGCTCTGGAGTCCCCAACACAAGAAGGACATGGAACTGCTGGAGCGGGTCCAGAGGAGGGCCACGAAGATGATCCAAGGGCTGGAACACCTCTGCTAAGAGGACAGGCTGAGAGAGTTGGGGCTGTTCAGCCTGGAGAAGAGAAGGCTCTGGGGTGATCTTATTGCCCCCTTCCAGTATCTAAAGGGGGCCTACAGGAAAGCTGGAGAGGGACTTTTTACAAGGGCGTGTAGTGATAGGACAAGAGGCAATGGCTTTAAACTGAAAGAGGGGAGATTTAGATTAGATATAAGGAAGAAATTTTTCACTCAGAGGGTGGTGAGGCACTGGAACAGGTTTCCCAGAGAAGTTGTAGATGCCCCATGCCTGGAGGTGTTCAAGGCCAGGTTGGATGAGGCTTTGAGCAACCTGGTGTAGTGGAGGGTGTCCCTGCCCATGGCAGGGGGTTTGGAACTAGATGATCTTTGACGTCCCTTCCAACCCAAACCATTCTATGATTCTATGATTCTATGATTCTATGATGTGTATCAGTGAACAGAGCAACTGTAAATACTATCCAATCGCCATAAAACCACTATAAATCAGTTGTCACACTAAAGTTTTTTCTACTTATTTTTTCTTTAAAATATAAAGTACAAGATTAAAGAAAAACCACAGATGATCCAACTAGCGTAACACATTTTCTCTGCCTGCATACATTAAATGTCTGCAAACAGTCCCTGCCGTGTGGCACTGGACATAGTCATCATGTGTTTGTCAGGTAGATTTCATACAGCATTACTGATTTGAAAGCTATCTTCCTACCTACGATTTCTGTCTGCCTGCTAGGGAAGAGCAGGTACTTCCAGCTGCTGCTGTTCCAGTTCAGTCTCCCCTATAATCTCACTCCACGGCTGCTCGCAGCCTCTACTTACCTCGGCCACCGTCAGAACACAGTATATCGACTGGTGCTCGGGATCCACGCCCTCCAGCTTCATCCCTACTTTGAATCCGTTTTTGTTGTATGGGAAAGATTGATACTGCAATGGAAATGAACAGTTTCAATACTTCTGAAAGTCTATCAGAGAAATATCAGAGAATATCTTTATAAAGAAAAGAACAATGATTACTTATTATTCATGATTCTGAAAGAACTAATAAATTGCTTAAAATGTTTTCAATTTTTTAAAACATATTGCAGAAAACTGATGATTGTTTCAAAAATACATTGATACTAGAATGACTTAAAACTTGAGAGTACTTAAGAAAATTTTAAAAAATTAGCAAAAAGATTACCCAAGAGAAAGAAGAGGGCATGATTTGCCCTCAACTTTTTTCACTAATTGTCAATAAAACATTTTAGCAACGTAATTATTTCATTTTCAGCCTGTACACTTAGACCTGGTGGTCATCATTCCTCTAACAATCACAACAACGATGCTCTATTTTCCTTTCCATTTCCACATCTCAGGCCATCAAAGATGAACTGCAAGGCAGAAATATGAAACATTGTCTGTATATAGGGATGGCATCCGATGTCATTTTCTCCTTTGTATGTTGAGTCCCGATTAGCTCATTTTCCAGGAATGTTTTTGCATCACAGGAATATGACTACCCTTATATCACATTATGATGAATGCAGAACATGTTTCAAAAAAAAATAAAGTGAAAACAAGGCTAAGCAGAAAGGATGTTTTCAATCAGAAGACGTCAGCGTCCCATGTAACATGCTCTCTGACTTCTGTTAAAGAAGGACGGAAGCTAGCAGATACTAAGGTTAAGCTGGAGGGAATATCAGAAAAAAAAAAAGAATTAAATAAAACTGAAGAGGATTTTCCACAGGTTACCAAATTCACAGCTAGACAGTTTTTATGTCCCAAAAGGTTACAGACAAAACACAGGAGAAGCTCCCCCTTCCTCCTGTTCCCCTCTAAAAGCTACACATGCTCCCAGGCCATCTGCAGCACCTCTGCGGTCAATGGAAAGAGAAGGGTATCAAGGGAGGTACGCAGAGAGGTCTCACCTACTTGGAAGGAAGGGAGTCCTCTCTTTGGTGGCTTTGGCTGCAACTGATGTAACTGAGTAATAAACCCAGGAGAAAAAAAATGCAGTGCATGGCACAAGTGCAGGAACATGCAGTCAAGGGGAAAGGAAACTGAGAACCATACCAGTTTAAATCAGCCTAAAGTGGCCAGCTAAGAGATGCCTAACGGCAGCTCTAAGCCCCTATCTAAAAATGGGTTAGATCATTTTGTAGACCTCAGTTAAGGGATCAGAGTATCTGACTGCAGTACATGCATTTGAGAAGTTATTTCATCCTAACATCACCACATTTAACATTTTTATTATCAATGAAAGATTAATGAAGTTACCCTGCAAAATTCTGGATATTTCCTAAAGAGGAATGTAAAAGCAGAGCATTTTTTTCAGATCAATAAACTGAAATTTTTGAAGCTCATCTTGGTGCACAGACTTGCAGTTAATGCAATCTATTTTATAAACACCTTACAGATAAAAAACCTCAGTGGAAAACTGGAATGCTAGAAATACTGACACACTGAGGAACAGTGGCCAAAAATGTAATTGAGATTTTGCAAAAGCAAGCACAAATAACATTACAAAGAAAGGAAACAATTAGAAGTCACAGATGTGTTTATTCTTTCATTATTATAATAAACATTACTGTACAAATAGTAATAAATTCTACAAACGATACATTCAAAATTAAGCAATTATCACACAGGTATTTCCTGAAATTTACGACATGAATTATTCACTATTCTTTCCATTGTCAAATCTAAAACTTCTAAGGCAACACAATCTTGACTTTGGTTTCTGTTACAGCAAAATAATAGGCAAATTTTAGAAGACTAATAACTTTAATACTATTTAACAGATGTCAGTTTTGCTCATTATTCTCAATATATCACCTAAGGTAAAGCTATGACAAATGTAGTAATCACACATTATCTTTACAACAAACATTTAATGATACTTTGTTAAGGACAGATACAAGAACAAGACAAGAGTAAAGGTAAAAGGAGTCGGCAAATGAGCAGATGCAGACTGAGGATTAGAAACGTTCACATACAGTGCAAGAACATACACAAAACCCAAAAGATTACAACAGGGGAGACGGAGATTGGAAAAAAAAAAAAATTCAAGGGTGAATAACTTTGTTTTACTGGAGCAGTAACAGCTTGTCAGTCACAGACTAGGAATGACTTTAAGTTCAAGGAAGTGGCAAGGAGTCTCCATCATCCTGACCATTCTTAAATATGGGTACAAATAAACACTGTGAAAAGTACTGCTTCTGAACTGGAAAAGTAAGATGAAAAAGATTAAGTCTCACAATCCAAATGGAAATCAAGGATTCAAAATCAGTGGTGATGTTTGGTGGGATTTTTTTTTTTTAACCTTCCTATTCCTGTGGCTCACTTGTCCATCTGTAAAATGCAGAAATTCTACCTAGCCTCTTCTGAGTACTACTAAGAATTCTCCCTCTGCTACAGGCTTTACATTAAATACAGGCACATTAAATAAAAACCTAGAGTAACCTAGGGGCTAGAGACTTTAAAAGAAAATATTGAATAAGATGCACTGAATAAGAAAGGTACACAATGGAGAAAAAGAAAGGAGAGAGTATGTTACCATTTAGCTCCAGACTTCACCACTATGTGCAGTGCCCACAAAACCTGGCATATGCCTGTATGCCGCAACACCATTTCATGGAACTTCAGACAGGCAAAGCAACATATAGAATCACAGAATGGTTAGGGTTGGAAGCGACCTCAAAGGTCATCTAGTTCCAACCCCCCTGCCATGGGCAGGGAAACCCTCCACTACACCAGGTGGCCTCATCCAACCTGGCCTTGAACACTTCCAGAGATGGGGCATCTACAACTTCTCTGGACAACCTGTTCCAGTGCCTCACCACCCTCAGAAGGAAGAATTTCTTCCTTATATTTAATCTAAATCTCTCTTCTTTCAGTTTAAAGCCATTGCCCCATGTCCTATCACTACACAACCTTGTAAAAAGTCCCTCTCCAGCTTTCCTGTAGGCCCTCTTTTAAGTACTGGAAGGCTGCAATAAGATCACCCTGGAGCCTTCTCTTCTCCAGGCTGAACAGCCCCAACTCTCTCAGCCTGTCCTCTTAGCAGAGGTGCTCCAGCCCTGGGATCATCTTCATGGCCCTCCTCTGGACTTGCTCCAGCAGCTCCATGTCCTTCTTGTGTTGGGGACTCCAGAGCTGAACGCGGTATTCCAGGTGGGGTCTCACGAGAGCAGAGCAGAGGGGCAGAATCACCTCCCTCGACCTGCTGGCCATGCTTCTTGTAAATCCACCCTCCAGACAGAGACAATACTTACCCGGACTTTTTTCTTGTTAGTTTCTCAACCGGTATATAGCATAGGGGCGTATAACTAAGGATGATCAGGTAACTGTTTTTCTTGCACCTAAGAATCTATGGCTTCTGTACATGGCAATCCTAGTTCTTTACTTTTGTACCTCAGTAATGTCTAAAAGCACCAACTAAAGGTCAGCATCACATGCACGTGTAAGCTGAAAAGCTAATCCCTGCACAAAAGATTTAACAGTTGAAGTATAAAGCAAACAGAGGAAAATGGATGCAAGAAACAGACTACAAGTAAGAAGAGAATTATCAAAAAATAATACCAGATATAGACAGCAGAAGTACAGCAGCTGAGACACGTTCACCTGTTTTGCCAGGTTTTGGAAGAGAACAGCATGAAAGCTTTGTGGATTTGCATATAAAGCTCACTTCCAAGCAAGAGAGACAGCACAAGAGAAAGCACTGCAATGACACATGACAAAAGTCCACCGTAGCAGGCAAAGGACGAGCAAGAGATGATGATGTGACATGCAATCAGATGACAGGCAAAACGGGAACAAGCCAAACTAGTATCTGACGTATTAAAAAAGTATGTCAGCAGGAGCTGGAAAAAGACAGGTCATATAATCAAAGCAACAAGCCAAAAGATGACCTTTGTTCCACCTTTCTAAACACATTTAAAGAGACCGATATGCCAAGAAAAAATGATGGTATGTATGAGGTTTTTAGCTTCAGAGATTACAAGGAAAGGCTAGAACTTGCAGATTTTGAAAAAGCATCTGCTTTCTGTAGTCTCAGTTGACAACGTTCATCTACAACTACAGAACTGTCTGAAAATGCAGAGATAAATAATTTCACATGTTCTGACTATCTTCACGATTGCTGATGGATAGCATTATTTTCATCACATAGGTTTTTTCCCCAGAGGGAAAAATAGGTTTTTCCCCAGAGAAGTGTAAAATCTTCAAATTATTTTTTTAAAATTGATTTCCAAGACATTTAATGATCTTAGGTGGCTGACTGATTTAAACTTCAGAAGGCCATACCTCTTTAAAAACCTTTGTAGGTACTGCAACAGCCTTTTCTTCCTCCAGATAGGACGCCCAACACCACGCTTGCCTTCCTTTAGAGGGTACAGCTGTAAAGAAACACACAATAGCACAATAACTCTGTAACTGTTAACTTCTCCAGAAAGAAAAAGCAACCCAAACACTTTGAAGTTTATAATACACCTATCTCAAATCTACATATTATTAAATGCATTCACGGTGTTTCTCAGCATTTATTTCAGAAAAATAAGTGGTTCTGTAGGTTTAACAGAACCAGGTTCTGCCTGGTTCTGTAGGCACCAGGAACATGAAGGTTGCTGGATTGTATAGAAAGGTTTCCAGCAGTTCAAATCTTGATTAGTAACAAGATAAAGCTCTCTCAGGTGACAAGAACAACTTAAAAACTCTTGCTCCCTGTCCCTTTTCCATTATTGCTCATAAGAAGCATTAAGATACACAATCTGCAAATTTGTAAAAAGATTAGTTCAAATCACAAAGTAACTCAATATTTTTTTTTTTTCCCTAAGTATTTCTTTTCCTGGAAAGCATTTTCAACTGGATTGTACACATTATGTTTTTTTAATCAGAGTTGAAATACTGTCTTCTTTAAGAGTATTCAGAATGTTTCTATCCTACTCCATCACTTTGTAGTTTGATGTTTTTGGATGGAGAGGCAGTGATTTGACAGTAATTTTTCCAAGCCATCAAAACTGTCATGAGTGCTTCTTTTCCCTCACCATGTCATTAGCGTATGACAGAAATGTCCAGTTTCAGGTCTGTTCATACAGTGTGAACACTCACATATACTTGCACAGCAATTGGCCACAGTCCATTTTAATATTAGCTACAGTCATATCAGTGAGTAACAGTTTTTAGGCCTTGAAAATAAGGCACTAACTGCACTAGCAAAAGCCAGGAACTTCAAAACCAGATGGCTTGTGAGGCTGGCCACGTGTGTATTTACTTTCACACACCTCTGCTCTGCTCTGCTCATCCTCACCTAAAATGCCTCCTCTGCACATGCAGCTTAGCATTTGAGACCACAAGCTCACGCTGCCAGGAGGATTCCTCACAGTCTGCAGTATGATTCCGGTCTGATCATGACTGTGGGCTACTCACAAGAGAAATAAGCTAGCCCCTTAAGCAACAGTCCGCTAAGCATTTTTATGATTAAAACATGAATCATAACAACAGCGATGCCAAACTCTCCTGAAGAAATCTGATAATGTAAAAAAAAGTTAACAAATTTCTGAATGACAGGGATCACTCCACACTGTTAAAGCACATTCATTCTATTTGTGATTTACCCAGTTTTTATCTATTCCATTTAAGAGATGTGTTGCTCAGCACAATAATACAGTTATGTGCTTGGTTCTGAATATAAATTGGTCTTTTATACCAAATCTCTCGTGCTGAACTGACACATTCCCAAACATAAGAAACAGAAGAAATCTGTACAGATCATTCTGTCAGTAGACAGCAGTGATTTCCACAGAGCATCAGCTTTGTGCTTGTATCTCACGCACTTCTTATCACCTCAGCTTTGGAAACAACTGTAGAAATAATTTTTATATTTCTGAAGTAATCTCGGGAGAAGGATTTTCCATAACTTTTATAAGTTGCATCTCCAATCCATATTTCATCTGCCTAGTGTTCAGCAGAGCTACGTGGAGCTCTGTGCTGATTAGTGGCCCGGCAGCTTCTGGTAATGGCTCCCAGTCTACCATAAGAACCACTTTGGAGAGCAAGATGTAGGTTTGTGCTTGGTGTACCACTGAGGTGTAATAGCTGCTGATTATCCAATCCTTCCTAGAAGTATCTATCATACAAATAGCTCGAAAAAAACAGCACTCATTTAAAATGTTTTATTATGCTGCTTGATGCAGCGTATGTCCCTTTGGACTGATTATAGCAATTATTCCTAAACAGTTCCATAAACGTGTCTATTTCCAGCACAAACTGTAGATACAAAATTGATGCCCAAGGAAACAAAAGTAAACTTCACTTCTGTTTAATACATGTCTTTCAACATCTGAGAACTCAATGGGCCTGATTCCCTCTAAATCCAGCACTCTTCAGAAGGATGAAAAAAAACAACTAAAATGTGCATCAAGTACATTTACACTCACTATCCTCCTCCACACTGCCACAGGTATATAAACTGGGTCTTTGTAAAAGGTAATCAATCTCCAAGTCACGGATTTTTTTTCCTGGTTTTCACTGTCTCTCTCAGTTCTTCAATCCTTAAAACTTAATTGCTATAAATAACACCGGCACTCCCTTTTTATGGAATTGAAAAAAAAAAAATTCAATAGGGAATACAAATTCAGTAAAACGATGCTGGCAATTCACAGTAAGAGATGGATATTACCTAAAGAACTGATAGTTGAGATCTTTGTTTCATAATGCAACTTACTTTGTTTCAAAACTGTTATTTCCCCTTTTCTTTTTCTCCTGGCTCTCTGTGAGACTCTCAAGATCCTTCCTTCAGGTTTGTCCTCCTAAATTAAAAAAGAGTACAGAAACCTTATTAGTTCAGAAGCCTAGTACACTAAAAATGGAGACATCCAAGGTTTAACCGTGACTTTATTTGAATGGCTACTGACATAGCTCTTCGCTATCTCAAACAAACCTGCAGATGCCTAATGAAAACAAAGCGAGCCATCAGTGACAAATCCCAGCAAACACGGTGAAAAATCACAGACAGGACTCTCAACAGCCTGCACTCAGCCAGGCAGCCTCGGCTAAGTCAGGGACAGATCATGAAGCCTTCGGCAGGCCTAGCTGAGCTGGAGCTAAGTAGCAGTATCTTTGATATGTTCACGCTTCCAAAATAATTCAAAGGAAAACCTCTCACAGCTTTAGTCTGCTTTTTTCAAACGTACAACTGCTTTACTAAATATAAAACGGCACTGATCCTTTCTATTTATTTCATTGTTTATGTATTAATAGTTTTGTTAGCACCTGAATAGATAAACAGAATAAGTGCACGTTTGGCAGGGCAGATGCATGGAGGAAAAGAAGGCATCCCCTGACTTTTGCCTAGGATACTGCTATACAGAGAGCTACGAGTTCCCTTCTGACAACTCTAGGGTCTTCAGCCTTCTGACAATTCAGCAATTGCAGAGCTCTCCCCTTCTCCCTCAAAACCGTGCTCCTCTCAGCAGTGTCACAGCTATCGGGAAGAAAACAAGCACTACAAGAAAACAAACATTACCGGAAGGTACTGTGATAAGTTTATTCTGAAACGAAGAATAAATCCAAAAGGAAAAAAACAAAAGGTGACCCAAAGCACATTACACTGCAACAGAACACCAAACCAAATCCTTCTCCATGATTTTCTAAGGCAAATTACACTACGAAAATCAAAAGTATTCTCTTCTGAACTGTAATGTAGCTTTCTTTGTAAATAAGTTAATGGTCTATAGTCATTTATTTACCTGCAGAGTGACAAAGTAACAGGTGTTGGGAAATATGCACTATTTTTCTATGCTGAAGACATAGCAAATCTACATTAGTATCATTTTTCCTTTAAATTCTTTTTGCTTTGTTCTTAGAATAGGAGGGAAAAGAGATAAAAAACAGCTCTTATCAGTTCATTGTCAACAATTACAATTTACTGATGAGGCATAATTAAATTGGTAAGCGAATCAACTACTTATTGTGGCTCTGAGAGCAATGCTGTCACGTCACTTTGTAGACCGATGAAGTTACTGACATTGCGATATAAGGCAGAACTCCCACTGAAATACTTGCAGGAATGGGTTTATGATGCACACTAACAGTTTCATCAGGATTCTCTTTCTTCTCCCCATTATCCCTGGACTCTTCTTTGAGAGGTAACTTTGCTTTTCTTTTCCGAATGCCTTTGGAATCATCTTCCCCGTTGCATTCCACACTGGGCTTCTCCTCCTTTGGTTCTCTATTACAAGAGTAAGACAATGACACAAAGCCAATATTATTTCACTTCTCATATTCATAAAACAAGTAAAAAGTGAGTAAATCTGAAGGTAAAGTGTTTGTAGGTCCCAAGGTATTATACCAAATATATTCTTAGAAATACTATTGAAAATTGCATCTGTCAAAAGAATTAATCTGAAAGACACAGTAGCAACTGCAAAAGGAAAGCTGTCAGCTCACACTGAAAAAGTTCTGTATGTTTTAAACAGTGTGTCTTTTCCCATGTACCATCAAGTATCACAGAGAAGCAAACTGTGAAATGTTTAGGACTGCAGGGCAGTTTACAGAAAGGAAAGCAAAGGTAATTGTTAAACTGGCAAATCCAATTGCAGAAAGCTGGTATGTGACTGTACAAATTGCTAAACGAGCAATCAGAACAGAAAACTTTGAAGTAATTAGCTAAAAATGAAGGAAAGCGCACAAAATCGTAGATGTTAAAAACTGCCATAAAGCAGTAATACACAATACAGAATGGACATACTACCACAAACCTTCTTTTACGATGAGATGAACTGCACTAGCTGAAATAAAAGGAACTGAGAAAACATAGCATCCCATGTTTTCACTCGTTGTCATCTGTAACACAGCTTTTGTACTTAATTATAATTAACTTATCACACCAACCATCTCATTACTGATTATCTTAATTCCAATGATTAAGAAACAGCATGGAAGCCTGACACTGATTCCATGCATCCCATAGACTGCTTCACGGCTTGCATCTGACAGCAGAACTCAGCACACTCTGAGCAAAAAAGACTGCCTTCAACATCAGCGTCAGACAAAACCCAACGTTGTTAATGCATTTACACAAAAAACAGTGAAAGAGCATTACAAACTGATGGAGCCTCACCAAAACACAGCTTCTTAATATCTCCCTTGCCCCACCCTTAACGTTTTATCCCACCACTTTTACTTCATGCTTTATTTATACCAAATTCTCTGTTTCTACGCTTTACAATAGCACCTACTTGTTTTTTACTTGCTGGGCACATTTCTGGCTGCAAAATTTCCCTTCAGGAACAAATTCTTCTATGGTACCATAGCAGTAACAGTTTTCACAGAAAACAAGTCCATCCATTTTTGCAGTTTCCTTCAACCTTGTGGAGATCCCTGTCTTTTCTGAAAAGGCTGCACAATGAAAAAAGTAACTTCACTTAGGTAGAGGTGACACATTTCCAACCACCCTCAGCAGGCCTTGCCAAGCAAACAGAAAAACCCAAGTCACGCCACTCTTGTTCGAATGAAGAATTGGGAATTAGTGTCTGTATGGGGTCTGTATTCCTGACAAGCAAGTTAAGTTTTCATATTGCGACATGAGAGAGAGGAATTCACCGATTCCACACACTTGTCATCAGTGGCACATCGACACTGCTTGTTGTGACTACCTGTGGAAGGAGTGAATTTTGTGACAGGCACCACACTGACGGCCCACAGAGCCATCGCCGCATGGAGTCCATCACCTCCTCTCCTGCTGACATGCCTCACTTTTGACCTATATATAGGGTCATTTGGGAAAAAGGTTTGGGGGGGAGTTATCTTTCAATAGGTGAACTTACTTCTGGAAGTGAATCACTGACTACATTCTACAGTATCTCACAGCAGTAACTGTTGCTCAACCTGCCTAAGGCCTACCAGAAGTAAAAAAAACACTAATTTTTAATCACTGATCACAAAGAAATTTTCAAATACTGAGTTACTCACTCATCCCAAGTTGCAATTTCCCCACAAGAGGCATGCAGCCCAGGAGAGGATGCCGTCTCTTTCACCTACAGGCAAGTATGAAGCACTGTCAAGCTCTCCAGGTTCTAGAGCAAGTCACTGACTTGGCACCTCCCCAAATGGCAAATTTCAAGCCACAAACTATGTTTTTCTTGAGCACTGCACTGTCTTTGAAAGCGGAGTCAAATGAACTCATGTGCAGGCTATCTCCACTAGAAGAGTATATAATTTCCATGCCATATTTGCAATCCAGCATCATTAGTGGTTTAAAACGACTATTTCCTCTCACAGTGGAAAATTTTAGCAATATTTTTATCTTTGGGGAACATTAAATTAATCAAGGACTGTGTAAGGTAGTAGTAGGATGCTTACCTGGTATGTTTATGTGTCCACAAACAAACTTTAATTAAACAGCAACATTATATATATTTTTTTAATGTTTACCAGACTGTAGGAGATGAATTTGTATGTTTTACTACAGATAACTGCGACCTCTCGGTTTAAGGAGAGAACCTGTTGTGCTACTGCGCTATCGCACTGTTGCCACTCTTATCACAGATTTGGATCTTGAGTAACTGCCTTGCAGGCAGACCCACAGAACAGAGCAGCTGTGGTCTGAAGCTTCAGACCTCACAGCTGAGGCCCAAAATACTTTCCCACTGTTGTAAATGTTTCATCCAATTCACAGAAGTCACATAACAATTAAGACCTAAGGGTGGGGGAGTAGCAAAGGAAAATTTTCATTGACTTTGCTTATCGTGCTTATACTGATGATTATTAAACCAACATTTTGAAGTTTGCTTTTCAAAGGACTTACAGAATGCGTATTTTAAAAGAAAATTGATAAAATACAGTATCAACATGGAAAAAAAAACTGGGTAGTTTTAAACAATTGCATAACCAGTTGTGATAGGACAAGGGGAAATGGGTTTAAGTTGAAGGAGAAAAGATTTAGATTAGATCTTAGGAAGAAATTCTTCAGTATGAGGGTGGTGAGACTTCAGAATAGATTGACCAGAGAGGCTGTGGATGCCCCCTCCCTGGAGGTGTTCAAGGCCAGGTTGGACAGAGCCTTGAGTAGCCTGATCTAGTTGAGAGGCGTCCCTGCCCATGACAGGGAGGTGGGATTAGATGATCTCTAAGGTCCCTTCCAGCCTATGCCATTCTATGATTCTATGATATTCTCTTTCATGCTACCGAAGACAGTGTATCAAAATTTTCAGAAATTATGACCATGTAAACCCCCTTTCCTTGAAGAAAAAAGGTGTTCCCTTCCATCAGCATTTTAAATCCAGGAAATACCTTATTTGGTAGACAGATACTACAATTATAAGAATTTTATCATTCAAGATAAACATAAATGGTTACTACACACTAATTGTAATACTGTAAAAAAGAATAGTCAGCAGGAGCAAGGCAACAACGCAGACACGCGTCGACATCGGTGGTAGCAGCTGAGCTGCAGCCAGTATCACGTGAAGGCAGCTCCCAGCGCGCAGTACTTTGGTCACAAATTAACTGCAGGCAGCTTGTCACGTCTGTGGCCAGTCTGGAGAACCAGCTCAACAAAAATAACGTCTAAAAAATTCTCAGTAATTTAAAGTGAGAAATTGACTACTTTGGAAATCAAATAGAGGGAAAATACTGATTCTAAACTTAGAAAAAATTACTGTTAGAAAAAAAATTGTGGCCGTAATTGAACTTCAGATGTTTAACAGTGGAATTACTTTAACTTAAAATACACTTGTTTTCGTGCTTATTCACATCCCAAGAAACTGGTAACATCATCGGAGATACTCTGTGCATTAAATTAAGTAAGTAAGGGTGTTTTTTTATTTTGAGGGGCAATCTTTAAGAAAAACTGATATATTAAAGAAAATACAGTCTAGCAGAGAAAATGTTTAGCACCTCTTAACTGACCTTCTTGAGCAGTTGGGACCATCCAGGTTGTGGTAGCAGTCGCCTTTTTAACACTTTCCATCTCAGTTTCATCTGTAATCACTTCCAGGGCCCCAAATTCATTCACTCTAAACTGTAAGACAAAACAAACGGCATAAAGTACAGTAAAAATCTACTAATACTTTCTTAGGGTGTCTTCTATTCACCACGAGTTTTTACCTGGTGTCCTCACCATATTACCTAATTTCTACGCGTTTCTGCTTATCCCCAAGGAACTGGAAACAAGCCTTTCTTGTTTCTATCAAGCGAAATGCAAACTCATGTGGTTTATCTGAAAATATTAATTTGCAATAGGTATTGATATAGATGCCTCCACACACAGATCGATATCTAACTTATACACAACAATCAAAAAATCAGTAACAGAAATTGATGGGAACGTCTCCTAACCGTACATTTTTCATTGCCAGGAAAATAATGCAATCCAGTTACTGGGTATTTTCGTCAAGGAAAAGGGAACTGAACATCGAATACAAACGCTTCACAGAGAATAGGAATTTCAGCATCCTCCAAAAACACAGTACTTCCCCGCTGTAAAGTGCACATAAACAAACATCTCGAGGCAGTTTACGAGCTGTTTAATTACATGCTGAACGTGATATTACTGTCAGCCAGCAGCAAGGCTCAACAATACCCCACGTGCTGTGCTTACACAGGAGCACCAGGAGTTATATCCCTCCTGCTGCCAGCAGAAAAGCCTCTTCCGAATGCCATAATGCTTTTCCAGCGCTACCGGATGAAAATAAACTTCAGGTTCCCCGTCACTACGTGCTTTGCAGGCCCAGTTGGTTACATGGGCTGAACTCAAGGCAGCGTTTCACCTCCGATCATCTGCTCTGAACAGTGACAGGGTGTAACTCTCTGAGCTTTGCCACAGAGGACAGGTCTCCAGCAGTGAGGTGCTGTCACCAACAGGGATCGACAGGGAAAATTATGCCTGAGAGAGTCTTCCAAAGCTCCCCAGCACCCACCTGCAAGAACGTTCCTTCAGGGCAGTAGCATGAAGCTTATTTCTGTCTCTCTGGTCAGGCAACTTTACCTGGGGAAAATGAGAAGGGGAACAATTGCCTGGCACTACGCTGATCTTCTCTGTGCTTCGGGAGGTTGGGGGATGAATCGCTCCCACTCACTTTGGACCCTATTATGGTACAGTACTGAACATAAGCCATTCTGACTGAAAGTAAAAGTGAGTCCCATGGTGCACATACCACAACAGTGTGTTTTCACTAACACAGTCCTCCCAGCCTCGGAATTTGCAAAAAGCCACCAAGTCCTAAGGAACGTGAGCAGCTTGGAAATAATAAGCTGAGAGGAGGGAGTGGAAGAAGAGGAGGATCTCACACAGTCATATGACTTCTGGAGCCACGATTTTCACTTGCCATCAGCTACGCTCACAACAGATACGCGAGTGCAGACAAACTGTCAATAAATCCATCTGGACTGAAAGACCAGGAGTTCAGCTTTGAAACACAACCAAATGCAGTAACGCCCTGTGCTCACGCTCCAGTCTGTGGAGAGACGTTCATGCTGTTCCCCCCAAAGAAAAGCAGTGGCATTACCATTCAGAAGAGGATCCTTGTGTCTTATGGCTGACTCACGTGCCCAGCACGGTTCCTGCTCAGGTGCCTCTGCAAGAGATGGATGCCAGAGGGAAAACTCTCCTTGTTTCCAAGAGCTCTAACCCTACAACACCTGGCTCAGCAGGCGGGCTGCAAGCCCAGACTGAAACACAGTGCTGCAGCCACCAACCAACAGGTCACTCACCAACACCTGGAAACAGTCTCCTGCACCTTCATCCAACACCAGCCGGAACATCCGTACACCAAAGGTATTTCTGACCAGCCCAATTAATACCTAAACATCCGATTGATGCTCAGCCCTGACACTACACAGA